GAAAGAATAAACCAGTTTTATTTAAGAAAGGACTTGTGTCGCTAAAGTTTCGTCGGAACGAATTTACGGAAAATCAATTAACGAACGGAGACGTAACAGTTGTATTCGGAAAGAATAAACCAGTTTTATTTAAGAAAGGACTTGTGTCGCTAAAGTTTCGTCGGAACGAATTTACGGAAAATCAATTAACGAACGGAGACGTAACAATAACTTATCCGACTATTGGTTAAGTTCCACTTGAGAATACCACAGTTTCAACTTCAGTGAAGTTGATTGTTAAAATGTGTAAAAAAAGTACACATAAAAAATATGGTATTTAGCATCACAGTCGTTTTGCTTCTACTGTTGTGAACGTTGAGGAAAGGGCAGAAAAATACTTAACAAATATTGAGTTCAAAGTTAAGACTAACGACAATAAACGTTTGTTTTCAACACTAGTTAAATCAGCAACATGCAAAGTCCACCTATACACCTAGTAAGTCTATATTTTCATTCAGTTGAAACTGATAGATTGTTTTATGATACTTCCTATATGCAAAGGGTGTGCATAGCTCCATGTGGCAATGAATTAATATTTCAAACTTTGAGAAATTAATATAGGTATGATGATAATTCTAATGGCTATAACAACTCTTGCTGTATGATTTTACCTGAAATAAAATTTTTGTTTCCATTTATTTTTTAACTTATCTACACCATTCATCATCATCACTGATTCGTAAATCAATGCCAGTCATATAAATCTAATTTATTCACATGGGCACCTGCAAAAGTGGGAGAAGAGTCAATTTTGCATATCCATAGTTATAGCTTTGGTATTAAATTATCATCTTGCCCACCTCCTCCTCTGTAATACATCCTGCAGATACCCATGCTTATTGAGAAATAGTTGTTGTTAGAAATTAAACATACAAGTTGTAATCTACAATTCTAGTACTCTTCTTTACCAGACAAGTGCTTTTATTTTCTCTATTCTTGTTTAAAGCATTAAGTTATGGTGACTGTGACAAAATTTGTAGTATTTACATGTGTCAGAAGTTGAAGTCACAAACAAGACTAGTATTTGTTTGATATTAAGCACAGAAATATATAATGGACTATCTCTGCTGTGTCCATCATGAGTATGAAAGCCTTATTTGTATCATTACAAGCCTTCAGACTTACCACTGGGCTACTGGGGAGAGTGGATAGGTGCAGGGGTAGTTTCTTTAAGTGTGGTCACCAAAGGTAATTGTTCTTGATATAAAGCATGTATGCCTCATGGCATGCTTTCAAAGAAACCATACCATTATAATGAAATGACCCACCACCCAAAAATCAATTTCAACCATAGGGAATGTTTTTGAACCACATAAGGAGGTTAATTAAAAATCTTCCAACATTAGTTTTCCATCATACTCCCTATTTACCCCACAGAATATCCTATCCACATGCCTTGTCAAGGAATCACCTATAATCATAACCTCCTTGTCATCCACATCCTTCTCTGACCCTTTTGTTTTCCTTCCCTCCAACAGTTCCTCGTCTTCAGAAGCCAATGGCTAAAATTTGTTGCACAATAGAACAGGCTCATTACAATTAAATTCACTACTCTTAACCCTAATAGTACTCTTTATAACTTCTTGAAAGTCATTGTTAGCTGACAGTACTAGTTAAGTAAAAATGAAAAGGTGTTGCATCATATTATGTCTGGAAGAGAATTTTAGAAAGATATCTATAGATATATATTAAAAAACTGGGGTCAAAAATTGTAAAAAAAAATAGAAAAATTGCCTAATAAATTAGTATTTGGTACAGAGTTGAGATGTACTTGTTCAGTAAATTAAGGAATAAAGGCAAAGTGTTACTTTATAATACATATATGTTTTTAACATGCTGTTTAAACTTTTCTTACTATATTATGATTTGTTTGTTTTTGAATTTCGCGCAAAGCTACACGAGGGCTATCTGCGCTAGCCGTCCCTAATTTAGCAGTGTAAGACTAGAGGGAAGGCAGCTAGTCATCACCACCCACCGCCAACTCTTGGGCTACTCTTTTACCAACGAATAGTGGGATTGACCATCACATTATAATGCCCCCACGGCTGAAAGGGCGAGCATGTTTGGTGTGACAGAGATTCGAACCCGCGACCCTCAGATTGCGAGTCGAGTGCCTTAACCACCTGGCCACTATATTATGATAATAATTCAACTGACTTTTCAACAAAAACATTACAATGAATGTGAACTGATATCACATTTCATAGAAAATTTTCATGCTAAAAATCTGTAAATAGGCGATATTAAACTGTGGTTGTTGATCTCAATAGAATATACATGAGATCTTGTTTAAACATTAACAACTTGTGACTCCTATTTACATAAGAGGTCTCTTCCCTAAATCTTGGATGGGCCTATACACACAATTGGTAGTATTTTTAATAAGTATTTTGAAATACTTTAGATATCTTAGTATTTTCTCAAATACTTTTGAAAATCAGTATTTTTTTTGTTGAGATTTTTCTATTTACTAAAGTCAACAATCTGAAATAAAGCATTTTACATAGTCTGTGTTTGTCCAACTAAAACTTCTATCTTGCTGCATACAAAATAAAAATCTAGAAAAAAAACCTAGTTTGAATATTTTCTTAATACAGACTTAACTTATTTATTATGTAATGTCTGAAAAAATTCATCTTTGTTAAGTTCTCAACTTTAATGATATTTATTGAAATATTTTTTTTTCAAAAGTATTAGTTTGCCCGACTTGTTGACTAGTATAAACAATTTTCCAACTATACTTATAGAATTCATAGAGTATTTTGTAAGATTTTGAAACAAATATTTTGATATTACAAAATTCTCAGATATGAATTATACTAACTATATTGTTGAAAATTATTAAGGGATAGTCAGTTTTCTATTGTCTAGTTATTACAAAGTACATTTATTGTTATTTAGTACTGTCATTAGCTTCCCCAAGTTTATTTTTATGAAAACCAAGTGTTAGGTGACCAGTCATATTATTTGGTATTCAAATATTTACTACTGAAGGCCCTATTCAGGCTGGATCTGGTTTCAGGCACTCAGTTGAAGACCGGCTGTTTTGTGGCAATGAATTAGAGGATCCCCATCATTGGTTATCTGGTAAAAAAAGATCAATCCTTATGAAATCTGTTTCTGACCACAGGTATGCTGATTTGTCATACACTAGCTGCTCTGAACTGTTGATTCAGTTTGGGAGCTGATGCTCATCAGTTCCTTGGAGCCTATGTTGTCAAATAGTTGTCATCTTGTAGGGGTTAACAACATTATTCTACTCTGTCCTTCTGTGACCAAAATATGTGAAACTTGCATCCATTCTGCAATGACCTATTTTGTTTGGCCAGTTTATAGCCAACCTATTGCCTTCAACATCACTGAATTGCCAAGTATCTTTGTTGAGGTTTTGACATCCCCCCATCATTTTATATCTCTTTATACCTATACCATTCTTGTTGAAATTTCTGAGAACACACTTCACTTTTATATACAACTGAAGTGTACATATCAGATCACATTGCTGTCATTTTACATTTATTTTGCCTAAACATGAACTTGGGAGGTGCCATTGATACTATTTAATAACAGTAGCTGATATACAGAAACCTGATTATCCCTTAATTATATGGAGCAATGTTCATTCCTATACACACACAGTTACTTTTTCTAGAAATCTTCCTGTTTAAGATGGAAAATTCTTTCTGAGCACAGTTACTGGTACAAATCAATGCATAATTTTTTTAAAAACTAAACTTTTGCAGAATTTATTCTTACTTTAACTTAGGAAAGTTTTCATACACATTTGAATGGTGTTTTTAATGATTGTATTATCAAGAAAACAACTTTTTCAATCCATGTGCAAGCTTATTGTCATATTTTTTAACATTTATCTTTAACTCTTTTAGCTGTCTCACAATAGCAGTATCTATTGGATTAAGTTCATGAGCTTTTTCAAGGTCTTTCTTGGCTTGGTCATAGTCTTGTAATGCAAGTAGAGCACTACCTCTCCGATACAATGCTTTAACACATTGTGGATCTATTTTCAATGCTTCTGTGCAATTTTTTACTACCAAATCAAATTTTTTACATTTTAATTGACAAGCAGCCATATTCAAATGACATAATAGTTTTAAATTTTTGAAATTTGTATCACTGGAAAACTGCTGCTTTTGTTGTGAATAATCATGTTCTAGAGATACAATATATTTCATTGCTTTACTAAATCTTATGAATGCAGCTCTTGTCTCTTGTTTTTGGAATAGCTTTACTCCTACATCTTTGTGATGAGATGCTCGCTGCAACTTTTCTTCTGGTTGGAGCTGCCAAATCCCAGGAACTTCTGTAAATTTCTCTAACTTTACATTAACAGCATGGGGAAAATCCAAATTACAACTTTCTTCAGTGTTTTCAACTGGACACTGTTGATGAATTTCAGTTCTCCTATGTATCTTGTCATCATCTAAACAAAACCGCAGAGCACATACTTCTCCAGCTTTCATGGTTCGAACACATGAATCAAGAATTTGCTCAATCTCAGTATCAGCTTCACCTACAGTTAACTCAACTGTTTCTGGGCTGCCACCTCTGACCAGGGGTAAAAGAACAGTATCTTGAGATTCTAGTGTTACACTACACACAGCTCCTTCTTGAGGGATGTTCAGTCCCACTCCATTGTTTAGTACTGTTTTCTGAAACTTTGGAGGAGGTTTCCATGGTGAGAAGTTCCATGTTTCAGCCATAACTGTTTTTTCACTCATGCTCTCAGATCATATTAAGAGATAATTCTGAAAATACAGAGAAAAACTGAAACTCAAACTCAGAATTAAAACTTCATACAAAAACAATCATAGAGAACACTGATACCACAAAAACCTTTATGAATGAACTATACACAAATGGCACACAAGACTTTGTGAGACTATTTTTGTTTGGTACTTTAAGCATGTCTTTGATGTCTGTTTGCTTATGTTTGTATTTTAAGGAAAACATTACATAATGGGCTATTTGTACTGTACCCAACACAGGTATCAAAACCTAGTTTTTAGCATTAAAAGCCACTGTTCTACAATGTCATTATGTATGTACTTGCCCAATAATGATATCTAATTTAAGAGTTTGAAAAAAACAATAAACTTACAGCATTCCTTCTCTGGAAAAATATTTTTTTTAAAAACAAATGAACAAATACTCTACTTAGAGAAGTATATTATGCCTATCTCTTTCTCTCTTTCTTTATGTATATATTTTTTCTTTATTTCAGTTTTGCTTCAGAGGGGAATAATGTCTTTTCCCGTCATACTTTGTTTCCACCATGTAGGGTAGGGTGGATTTGAAATGTATTAGTCACAAATCAACTCATTTTCCTGCAAGAAAAATCCTTGAAAGTGGGATTACATAACAGGTATGTATCACTTTAACTGAATAACTAACATTCAAATGGTGCGAGTGGTGGTAGTTTTAGATTTAAATGACTGATAAATTACAAAGCTAAATCTGAAAGTGATAATTAGGGGTCTATATATAAAAACAGATAATTGGAAACATGTTGAGATGCATGTAAAGGAGTTCACAGAATGGATAAAGGAAATCACTATCCTAATTCAACTCCTTATATATGCTTTGCACTTCTTAGTATAATGCCACATTATAATGAAAGCTTGCGATTTTTGATTTGTAAAAGTAGTCTAATACAATACAATTATTCTTATTAGCCTGCTGTAACTGGATTTACTGTCAAAATGTAAAGGAGATCACATTAATTTCTACACCTGTCTTTGCTAATATACAGAGGTGGTATGCATTTGAGTGATGAGTTTCATATTTGTATTTTTAGAATGGTTGTTAAACCATTGAAATATTTTCACAGAAAAAATGCAGCAGAAGGGAAAACCTTCTTACAAATTGTTTGGTTTTTGCCTTTTTATTCTAGGTACAACATAATCTGGTAGAGGAAAACATGTGAAAAACAGTAGTCATCTTCATCAAGGTGGAAAAATATGACAGAAAGTAGTCCGAGTGCTAGGTTTTTGGCACAAGTTTTTCAGTAGTTATATTTTCAAGAATTGTATAAATCATACTTATAGGGGAAGATTTTTTTCAAAATTTTCCAGTTGAAAAATGGACACTTAAGAAAGCCTGGCCTAAAAGGGTAAGAATATTCTAGTGACAGAAGACTGAGAAGTTTAGCACTTTATTTTAGGTTATTTATAATTTACATTGTAACTTGTATTCATTAAAATCGTTAACCTCCCATATCAGTTATTAAAATTTAAATGTAAAGTTAAACCCTGATATTTTATTTTAAAAACTTTTGAGTTTTATTATTCCTTTTATTATCATTAATTATTATAATATTTTTATCTTTAGGCAAATAAACAGAATACTTACAATTTCACTTCCAAGTTCCACTTTTTTTTCACTCATGCTATGGTATCTCTTTTATTGTTTATCCAACACTTTGTAGGCCTTTAAATATAGTATAATTTCAATTTATCTCTCTTGATATGATTCAAAACAACTTCATTTAAACTTAGAGCAACACTAACAAACTTTGTTTTACTAATATTAATAATAGTTATAGTAACAGAAATTAGAAACACACCACGAATACAATATAACCCTACTACAATACAAGTAGTACGAACATTAGTAACTTTGGTCGCATGGAAATTGTTTGTCACATTTTCTGCGCATGTCTTGTACATGACGCGTATTTTAAAAAGGCTTCATAAACTTACTTAGTGGGAAACGAAAGACTAACATGAAACGCAATATATATATATGCGTTTCTGAATCCGAAATTAGACAAATTAAGAGAAACGTGGAAAAAACATTGCAGTCAAAATTATTTTTATTACAAAATGTAAGCCGACTGGCCACAGGTATAACTGCTAGTGTTTGAATGGTATGGTCATGAAAATTATGATTATCTTTTATTATGAGAACGATATTCATGGGAAAGGAGAACAACAAGAGTCAATAACTACGAAACTTGAGTCGAGTAAGGAAGTTAGCGAGTTCCGTTTGTTAATAGACTCGTTGAATTGCTGTCTCTATATTAATATATTGTTACGTCTCCGTTCGTTAGTTAATTTTCCGTAAATTTGTTCCGACGAAATTTTAGCGACACAAGTCCTTTCTTAAATAAAAGTGGTTTATTCTTTCTGAGTACAACTTTGCAATACACTTAATTTCAACAGTCGCGCTATAACAAACGCTATAATTCACAACGAACGTCTCACGTGCTCGACTCAACAATACTCTGTCTGTAGTTCAATAACCTTGTTCCCGTCACGTTGTGACCGTCTTATATATACAAGACTACCCCTATATCTAGTAGTCTCCCGACGCTTCATGAACGTTCTAGAAGTGCGTGGCGTGTTACTAACGTCACGTGACCTCCACTGTCATAACAATATTATTCATAGTAACAAGTAACAAGATGCTCCAGAACCTTCAGGAATACAACTTTAACATCATGTATCATCCTGGATGGAACTATGGAAATGTTAATTCATTATTCAAAAGATCATATGTTAATGAAGAGTATAGACAATGTGAAAAGTTGGAAACACAAGATAATAAAGATGACCAACCTTAAGTATAGCAAGATACAATCCAAGATGTGACAATCGCAAGTGATGATGAAAAACTAATGTGATCTAATACTCAACAGAAAGATGATCAGGCAAAAAATGTGAGTTTGAAACCAATTATCCAGTGAATCAAAAATAGAGCATCGGGACCTTCATGGCAAATAGTGGTTCCATACAACCAGAGGACAAATATGTATTTAACACAGTGAAGTTCATTATGTTTACAAGAGGGTTTTTTATCTCAGAAATGGAAAGATACCAGTGGAAAGAAACAGCAATACATTTGTTATTTCCACATGTCTATGTTCTGAAGCATTCCATCATTTCCACAATTTTCCAATGGCTGCACAATTAGGTGTTAAAAAGACATTGATGCAATAAGAGAATGTCTCTATTGGGATGGGTGCCAAGGATCTATAGAGAATTGGTATAAAAAATGTTAACTCTGCTGTGAGCAAGAAAATCCATAAAAAAACAGTATGGACAGCTACAGCAGTATTGGGTTGAAATACTACTTGAGAAAGTTGCTGTTGATGTGTGCTTTGTCCTTTGTTACAGAGTAACTGTTGGAGTAAATGCATCATGGTTTTAATGGCCTATTTCACGAAATGGCCAGAAGCATATGTTGTTCCTAATTAGGAAGGAGAAACTCTAGAAGGAAAATTCGTAAACGAATTTCTTTTAAGATTTAACGTGAATATGGAACATCACTCAGATGTGTGATGAAACTGTGAAATATTTCAGGTCCTTGGAATAAAAATGACCAGAACAACAGCCGTTTATGATATGGTGGAGATACAGCCCCATACTGTTAAGTCAATTAGTCATTTATGTATATGAACTTCAGAAAACATAGAGTAAAGATATTTTAATGTTACTGATGAGTTATTGCATAGCTGTACTTGAAGCTATAGGCAACACACCATCATCACTGATGTCTGGAAGATATTTGAAAGTGACATTGGAATTTCTGTACTCTTATCTAGAGACTGTCCTCTCAGAAGAGTCTTACACAGAACATATAGAGAGATTAAGAAACACCATTTTTGTTACATGACTTTACATGGGAAAGACGTAAATCAGCTAATGACAAAATGAAAGAGCACTATGCTGTTAATGCTGAGAAGACTGTGTCCCATGCAGATGGCATGGAATGGCTGTACAATCCCTGCCACAAAAATGGGTGAACTTCAAGGTTAAGCAGGTGTTGGGAAGGGCAATACGTTATACTGAAAATAATAAGTGACGTGGCTTAAAGAATCTAGAAGAATAGATCATCCACTGTGAATATCTTTAAACAACTTTAATAATCTAGTTGCCAATCTGGATATTTAATAGCATTGTGACATTGTTGTTATTTTGTTGGGTCCAATTCACATAACAATGACAACTTAGTTTATTCTTTCTTTATCGTTTTTACAAGCGACATTTACTTTTACACTGTTGCAACTTATAGATTAACGTAAAAAATAAATAAATTTACTTGTATAATTTCACGGTTCATTGATCGAGTAACTGGATATGGGTGATAACTAACACTGATCCAAATATTTAACTGATCAAAACTGAATGTATCACTACTAGATATTCGTCGAATTTACTGAATTTTAATGATGTCATCTGGGACAAAGTCGATCTTAACATGCTTCCTCTAGTTAACGTCTCAATTTAAACATTCAAGATATAGCATACAACATTGTCCCCTTCCTGGGTTGTAAAGTCCCTTGAGCAGTTCTGATACAAAAATAAAATAGTATGACAAATTTTACATTCACCAAGTCTTTTGGTTTGTTTTCTTTTCAAATGCCCATGATATACAGATGGGATGGCCTCTAGTTCATTGTCATCACTGGCTATCCTGTTGCTATGGAAAAATTCTTCTGAGGTAGGTTATCAAATCCACCAATTACACAATATTTGATGATCCTCTAGAAATGCTTTCGACAGAAACCATAAACTCCTCAGCAGGTTGAGTTTCCATCAACATATTCTTCTTTGGAGTTACCCAGATGGTCATTCTCTATGTTTCCAGCACCTTCATCACGAAGGATCATGTCTATTCGTGGTAACTCTAGTCTTCTCTACGCGCCCTCTGTTCTTGTATATAAGTGTGCCAGACAATGAATCGGGACTGGAATTGCAGACAGAGAGATATAAAAACAGATAATCGAGTCAAGCCGTAAGTAAATTGCGTGAATCGTTGTGAATTCTAGCGTGTGTTTAACTTAAAGTGACTGTGGAAATTAAGTGTATTGCAAAGTTGTATTGAGAAAGAATAAACTAGTTTTGTTTAAGAAAGGACTTGTATCGCTGAAGTTTCATCCGAAAGAATTGCTACAGAAAATTAACAAACGGCCAGAGATGTAACGATATCATTAAATGTCGTTCAGTGAAAGAACAATGATAAGGTCTCAAAGTGGGTTCCTCGTCATCGAATTTGAATTAATAATGGCTGGAGACGGCTTGAATGGGTAATGAAGAAAAACTTTAATATAAGTTTAACATAACAGCAAATGTACAACGTTTCGACAAGGTACCTGATAATGACAAAACCTTTTCGAAACGTTGTA